TAGAGTTTCAGATGTCAGATCAAATGTTTTGGCACAGGCATCGACTGTGAAACCACTAAGAGTCTCAGGACCTGAGAACCGAGACCCAGTGGACCGAAGAAGCTGATGCCGATCGGACCTGACCCGTCTTTGATGTTTCATATTATGCTGCGTTTTAGTCAGCATTAACCCGCTATGACATGTAATTTGGTTCAGAATGTGTGTCAGCTGGACCCAGTAATTAGGGTCCAAATTCAGTCATACCGTACACTGTCACCCAGACCCCTCCTCTGAGCCTGCTGTCATCGCCATACGGCTCTTATGAATGTGAGAATCCGTCAGTGCGGTCTATTCATACACTGCTGAATACATCAAACAAAAACTGCACATCAACACCTGCTCAATCTCTGCATCTCTCTCTCTCACACACACACACACCCACACACACAGAAACACACACATTGCTGCCATTTATGTCTATTAATATCTGTCCAGTTCACAGCTCATTATGAACAGTGAACGAACGGAGCAGCAGAACTGACCTTTATTAGCCAAGGAGAGCTAATTGATGCCAGCCTGTTCACTCACAGGCTGTTATAAAACAAAAGATGCGAGCACACTTTTTAACGCGTAAAATAAAAGAAACAAGCCAGAAGTGAACTCTGAGGTTTTCTGGTGAAAGGGAGAGCATGGAGGTGAAATAGAAAGGAAAGAAAACAAGAATAAAGGAGAAAAGTCAGATTGAGACAGAAGCTTTGATACTGTAAATGTTATTGGTCTCATGTGAGAGAGGCTTTTTATTTGTGCTGAACAGATCATGGGAATTCACTTCTCTCATTATTGATTCATGAGAGAAGTGTGTGTGTGTGTGTGTGTGTGCATGATTCGTCACTCGTTTGTTTTGTGGTGTTCCTGCTGCCCCCTAGTGGCTATATGGAAGTAAACACGTGTTTAAAGAGAAAACTTTATTTCATTTTATGTTATTCACAGTAATTCTGGCCTAACTCAAGTAAATATGACATTTTTTTCTGGTTCTTTTAATTTGTATTCGTAGATTGGGCATTGTTACATATAACTAACCCCTCAGAAATCATGTAGTTTGACTTAAGATTTGAAAATTTCATTTAAAGAATTTGCCTTTTTTTATTTATCTTTTTACTATCAGACCTCAAAACAGGCTTGTATTTCAAAATGGAAATGGAAATAGAAATCTTGAAGAAACACATGCATTGCTGCAGTTTGTAGTTGTTTTCATTAAATAACTTGGACTTTTATTTCTATATCTCCTGGACTCTTTGTGAATGGGGGGGGGGACGTATAATACTTATTGAGCAATGCAGCTGCAGCTCTGTGCGTTTTATCCCTGATGGGATTATTTACTTTTCTAAGAAGGATGTTCTAGGATTTTTTTTTCCACAAAAACAACCTACATCTCTTAGAAAATCAGCTGCATTGAATTCAAATGATATCATCCCAGCTTTCGGGGTTGTTGCCATATTTTAAGACAAAGCTTCTCTCTTTTTTTCTCTTTTTCTCACCACTTGTGTTTGAAATTATTTTTCTAGGTTTCACTTTCAAATGTTAAAACAAGCAGCAGTGCTTTTTGTCAGTCAAATCCTAGCACTCTGCTTTAATATGTTGAGGCATTAAAAACAAACTTGTTATGCCTTTTACATTGAAATTAAAACACTCATTATGACTAGTTTTAATTATTACTGGTAAAAATGTAGCATTACTATTTAGTCAGTAGAAACACTTTCTGGTTTCTCACACTCTTTGCATCTGCAGAAGGTGAGATGTAGATCAACCACTGAGGTATTCAAAGTGTTAAATTTAGCTGCATTTTATTAGTGTGCAAGTAAGATATTTTTTTTAACGTTGTTTTCCTTTTCAATCTGTGCAGAAATAAACAAATCCTCATCCTCCAGCTCTCTTCCCACTATGTTTAGGTCTCGCCAGATATTTGCAATAATCTCCTTTGTCTGATCAACTTCTTGTTAGCTTGGACTACCAGCGTTGCAGCGAGTGGTCCACTGACACAGCACAGCTGAAGTAATGAGTCTATTTTTGGTTTTTTTTGCAGTTCAACAATCAGTAGAGATAGCAAATTAACCACAACTTCCTCAAAGCCTTCACAATAAGACCTCCAAATGTAAGATTTTAAAACCACAACATCTTACAGTAGCTCCTGGACTTGTTAAAAAAAACTGCCATCTAACTTGCAACATTTAATTCAAGTTGCAGGACTCCAGGCCTCTAGGAATGCAGTTTGAGATCACTATTTTAGATCAACAAAGAATAAAAAAAAAGTTCAAGTCTACTGTGTTCTGGCCAACTTTCCGCTATGCATTATTTTAGATGATCGTTTTTCTTTTTACAAACAACCATCCCTTATCTCTCCCCTCCCAGTCTTGTTTGGTGTTTCACAGATTCAGTCCCTGCAATCTTCAGGCAGAAATAACCTGTTATCAAACCAGCAAAAAACATCAATTATGAAAAAGAGTTTGAATTAAAACCAGCTTCAAATACAGTCAGCTGGGGGGTTGCTATAATTAAAACAACGTACGATAAATTGGTACGCGGTTACTGATTTCACAGGATATTATGTGAACATTAATGATTGAGGAACCCCGGGGGGTGTCGACTCGTTCTTGGAGCATGGATATGTGCATTAGCAGTGATGTCATCTGACCTGACTGCTGATAGGCTGCTTAGCCAGGGCATTGTCACACACAACGCCCTGACATACACACCCGCAAACAAAACGCACTCCATCTGGCCTGGAGGAGCACTGAGTTCAGGCCAAAAAGCTTTTCATGGCAGAGAGTGTCTCGTAATGGACAGACAGAAAGAGAGCGACACACTCATTCAGGCAGTCTGGCTCCCTGTGTGTGTGTAGAGATTTAATCTTTAACCAGTGTTATTGTAGCCTGCACACTGATATGGAGACACAGTATGTAATTACAGCTGCTGCACGCACACACACACACACACACAGGTACCAGGGTGTGTGTGTCAGAGTGAGATTTCCTCTCCTTTTCTATCTGACACCGATATCCCACATACAGAAATGTCATTGACTGCTACGTCATTTTTCTGGAGCGCAAATTGTGAATATAACACTACAGTGTGTTTTTCTTTTTTTGTTTTTTAATCAATATTCCAGACTACAGTAGATTATAATGGAGGTGTCGTGACAGCAGGTTTGTGTCGTGATTAACACAGTACTGGACGTCTGCAGATATGAGCAATGTGTTGCAGAAATGTCAGAGTGGTTTCACAGCAGAGCCGTGTCCCAGTTCGATGACCTGCTGCTGCCTGCTCCACTTTAACTCCGTTATATCTCAGTATGTTCTTAAGCTGATGGCCTGCAATCCGACTCAGTGGGAGCGGGCCTGACTTTTTGATGATGCTCTGAAGCTCTTCCAGACACATCTAACCAAAGAGCAGACGACGGCTGGGGAGATGGGATGTGCTTCAGCTGTGAGTCCTCCAGCGGTGGATGCTCTGGAAATTGTTTTAGGAGGCAACGGTCGATGAAATCAAGCTTTCAACCAGCTTAGAGAACTTAAATGGCTCCAGAAATGCTTTCTGAATTCGCTTTAACAGATTAGGTACTACTATTATTTAGATGTTATCAAAATTGGCAACAAACATATAAGATTGTAATCATTTATGCTCTTTTTGTAGGTTGCCAATTTATGTGGCCGCATCACTCAGGATTTAAGGGCTTCTGTTTAGGCAACTCCAGGTCTTATAGATTGCGTTTGACACATATTCAGGGCAGAACCATTGTCTTGTGTGGAGTCTGACACAAAGAAGTATGAAATATCCAGTTCTTCATACCGCAAGAAGAGAAACAGTTTTCTAAAGTGTGAAGAAAAGCAGGGATTCTAAAATGAGCCCCGTACAAATTCACCTGAGCTCAGCTAAAACAAATCAGAAAGATAAGAACAGCTAATCTAAATGAGAATAATCTTCAAAAAATAAGTTAATATAATACAACATAAATGATGCAAGATAAGCTAAAACAAAATAGGCTAAGCCAAGACAAAATAAGATGAAAAAATGGGACATAAGGTAAGGTGAAGCCAAGACAGCACCAAATATGCTAAGCTAAAGCAGAATAAACTAAACTAACCCCGTCAGGTTTTGGACTCAATTATGAGATGAAAACAAGACAGACAAACACACACACGCACACACATTCTCTGACCTTTCCGAGGGGCCAGCAGCTGTTAACTAAAATCCAAAGTCATTTCCACCCAGTAGCCAGAATCTTTATTTTGCCTGCTACCCACCAAAATCTGCATGTCTCTCAGAAATCAACAAGCACAACCCGCGAGTCAATAGCTTGAAGATCCACCGTTAGCAGCTCTCACTCAAACTAGTTTTTGTCAGTATGACTTTTCCAGTCTGCAGGAAATTCAGCATGCTCTTCTTTACAACCTTGCTTGAGCTCATTGAGGTTTTCAGAAACTTTTTTGTCATCTAAAATCTACCTTGTCTGACTTCGCTGTTTGGCTCTCCACAACCTGGCTCCACATTCCCAAACATGATGCTGTGAAATGTGGCCAAACATCTTTAATTCAGATCCTTGTATCAAAAAAAAAACTTTGCTCTCTTGTGGAGAGATTTTTTTCAAGACTTCTGGCCACATTCACTCTGAAAAGAAATCGCTCTTGAACGAGAGACAAGGCAAGACAAGATTATTCGGCTGCTAATTTTTCTGTCGTTTCTAAAAATCTAACATAAAATTGGAATCCTGTAAAAATCTGAGATGTGGCCTTTGAGGTGATTTTATTAGTGTGAGCATTGCTTGGGAAAGCTCTTTTCTCCTTGGCATCTTGCTACTACCCATGTAAACTCTAGATTTCATGTTTCCTTTAATTAGCACCCTCTGAATGCTACTTTCCTTTTACAAACCAACGGAAGCAAAAGATGTGGTTCGTTTTTTTCCGCAATCAGTCCATCAGCAGCTACAATAAGCACAGCACACCAGATAGCTGCTTTGGTCCTACCTGCAGTCGTGCTGGAAGCACTGAGGGCTCGATTCAGTCCGGCAGTCTGAGTCAGTCCTGCAGGCTGGCAGTTAAACTCTGCGGCTGGAGGAAGCGACCTGGTCTGAGCTCCAGCTGCAATCAAAGACAACAACATCCTCTAGAGCTCACAAACAGCTGACAAGTGATATTCTTCTGCCAAAGCTGACAACAACATTCCCACATGGAGATTACTCTGGAGGCTCCTGCTTAATTCAGCCAGCAGCACTAACCCCACCTGCTGCCTGTTGCCATGTCTGCCCCGCCTGGAGCTGCTTCACCCTCCGGAGGTGAGACCTGCCGTTGTAGTGCAGCTGGGCCTGAGCAGTGGAGGTCAGCTGCAGGTTACACACCTCACACAACGAGTATGTCCCGCCCTGGGCTGCAGGGAAACAGCAGGGGGAACAGGTGGAGGAGTTGGAGGGGGGTGAGCGTAGTTGCAGGAGAGGCACCAGGAGATTTGACGCACTATTAATCCTGAATCACAACAATCACCTGGGGATGGAGCCTGCTGGACGGGGAGAGGCAGGGTTGTAGGTGTGGGTGTGTCCATTAGCTCCTGACCCAACCCTCTAAAGGCAAAGATCTGCCCGCTCTCCAGAAGCAGAGAAGGGCTCGATGGCGTCTTCATCGCTAAGAAAGACAACAAGAGAAATTACAAAAAACATCAATATAAATCTGTAACAGAACCTCTTGTGTGTTTAGTGATGGAGAAGCTCGGATTCATGAAGGGTAGAGAAACAGCTGTCGTCCTGACAGAAAAGTCAACATTTCAATCTCAAGTCCTTCCATGTGCTGCTGAAGACTAAATTGGGTGAAAACAAAAACAGCAACAACAACCACAAAACAATGCTGACAGATGTGCAACAGCGGCATCTGACACACCACAGCTGAACACAACACGAGGGTGAAGGTGACACCAAATAACACTAAATGAAAGCTCTCTTTGAGACAGAGCGGACGGCTAATCCGCAGACAGAAGGACAGACAGGATTGCGGACTGAATGACACCGGATGCAACAAACCCTCAGAGGGAGAGTGATGAAGTAATGAGTAAGAGGACAGACGAAGGGTGACATATGTGGACATATGTGCATGAGGGTATTTGTGTGTCCATGTGTGTGTTGGTCAGTCCGTGACTCTGTCCATCTGTCGTCCCATCAACTTTGCCAAGTCACATGACCACTGACAGACTCACAATTACACTTCCTCCCATCCAATCTGAAGGTAATTTTAAAATTTAAACAAGCAACAGATCCGAAGCCTTTCCAAGTAAATTTTTAATTAGAGTTCTCACAAGCCGTTTTCTTGCTCGCAATTGGTTATTTTCATTTTAAAACACTGCAGGCAGTGTAAATGACAGAAGAGTAAACTTAGTAGTTGTTCTGGAAACTTTTTTTTGGCTGCCTTGCAGAAAATGAGAGGCTTATCGTTTGCCAAGCTTGTCGATCAGTAAAATAAACTGTAAGCTTATTGGTTAAGATACTTTAATTATACAGTGATTGATCGGGTAGTGGAGATGCAAGAGACGCCCAGCATTGATTTGTGAGAGAGTTGGATGCAGCACAATAGACTCCCTGACTCTCCAGTCCAGGATTTGTTGCAAAAGATAAAATAAAGCATATCCAAGAGGAAATACAATGTTTTTTCTTTGTTTTTTTCTCTCTACTGTTTAACAATAGCAACAAGAGCAAACATTAGGGCTAATCAGCAGTTCTGTTAGAGCAGTGAAAGAGAAGTAAAAAGAAAAAGCTCTTTTATAAAGGTTTAAGTCTTGTTAAGAATATTTTAGTTTGAAAACTATTTTAGTTTGAAAGCTATTCTATCATATCTTCCGATATGATAGAATAGCTTATTTATTTAGTCGTAATAAATAGCTTTATTACGACTCTCATTGTGAAAGGTCAAAGTAGGAAGTGGAATCCTGCGTGTTGCTAGGTAACCAGAGACTTGCGATATGATAGCATAGCTTTAGCAAGTGACTGTAGAAAGGTCATTCAAGTGTAAGAATTGATTTAATAACCTAATTTCTACCTCGAGAGGAAGGGTGAGCCGGCGAGGAATGTTTATATGTTTTATGTCATTTGTTTTATGTCCATATTGTATCCGTGGGCTCACTGAAGTTGATGTTGTATTTTAGCCGAAGTGATAGCTGATTGTAGCTCACAGCGGAGCGTGTAGTTAGTGAGTGACAGCCACTGCATTCATGGGCAACACACGTGCTAGTTGTTTTCAACGGAAGTCATGTGGAAAGACCCGGATGATGAGGCGGATGATGACGAGGAGGAAAGACCCCGGAAGGACGGATGCTTCTTCAACGTCGTCAGCCGAGAACGGCGGTGACGTCAAAAGCTACAAAGATATATTAATAGGAGCGCTGGAATAAACTGGGCAGCACAGTGGCGCAGTCCCTAGCGCTGCGGCCTTGCAGTCGGAAGGTTCCAGGTTCAACTCCCGTCTGAAGCCTGACTGTAGGAGTTTGCATGTTACTCCCTGTGTTGCGTGGGTCCTCCGGGTACTCCGGTTTCCCCCACATGCTAAAACATGCCGGTATGGTAAGAGTCTCTCAGAAAGTAGCTGTGAGAATGTGTGAGTGAATGCTGGTTTGGTTTGGAATGAATGGATAGGTTTTTTAATCATTGGACATTGATGTTCATTGAGACTCGCGCTTTGCTCTCCAAGAGGTACACTGCTCCCACAGAGCCGCCTGCTTAGTTTTTTGCTGCCCGATTGTTACGGAGTGTACAAACACCAAATAGGGGCTTTGCTGGGGGTTTTCTACGGGAAAATTCATAAAAAACAAGCAAGTTATTCAGTTATTCTTTTTGCTTGATTTGAAAGATATGCACGATTCCATAAATGCGTTTTTTAAAATGTTAATTGCTCTCGTGGCCTTGATGTGAAAGGGCTCAGACACATCCCTGTAGAAGTGCGCATGTTCCTATTAGTATTTCAATAGATCAGCATGTTCAAAAATAAGTGCATAACATGTACTTACACATGTTATGCACTTATATAGTTTTTTGCCGCCCGACTGTTACGGAGTGGACAAACAACAAATAGAGGGGTCTTCTGCGGGAAAATTCATAAACAAACAAGCAACTATTCAGTTATTCTTTTTGCTTGATTTGAAAGATATGCACGATTCCATGAATGCGTTTTTTAAAACGTTAATTGCTCTCGTGGCCTTGATGTGAAAGGGCTCAGACACATCCCTGTAGAAGTGCACATGTACTCCCTGTAGAAGTACATGTATAAGTACAACTACTTATACATGTACTTATACTACATGTATAAGTACATGTGACTGCATAACATGTATTATGCACTTATATATACCGACTTATATATAAGTCGGTATAAGTACGTGTTTTCGTTTAGTAAAGTCAGTGGAAAAGTTCACAAGGTCAGAAAAGAAACGCTGAGTGTGCACTCCATGAAACTGTAACACCTGAGAATTGTGTGGACGTGCAAAATATAACGGCTGGATTGCAAAAACACCTAATCAAGTAAAGTCATGCTGAACCCTCGAGCAGCAAAGCTGAATTTCGAGGCACATCTGAGATTTAAACAAACACGGGACGGAAATATATTCGTAACTAAATATTAGAAAAACTCTTCTAATAGTTAGTTACTGTTAGAATTGTTTAAGGCTTTACCTGTCACACTGCAAATACAGTCTCTTCTTCAATGAATGAAAATATGTGTAGATATTCTGGAATCCTTGCGTTCTGGTTTGATAAAGATTTAAGTCTTGTTAAGAATATTTGAGTTTGAAAATATTTGACAGTCTTTAAGGACTTGGATCTGTTGTGAAGCTTTGTTGCGTTTGTTCTGCAGAGAAACTTTGCATTAAACGACTATGAAAATATGAAATGTGTTGTTTGGTTGTTTTTTTGGGGGGGGGGGGGGGGGGGAAGTGTGGGTGTTGCACTTCATGAACGGTAAAGTAATATCTGTATTTCCAGACCAGGTACAATTATTCCTCACAAATTCACAGTTAACTAGGGAAACTCCTCCCACACAGCCTTTCTCAGTTTTTTGGCCGGGTGACTGTTAAGGAGTCGAGTGAAAACTGGATTTCAACCAGTCTGCAGTTATACGTCAAATAAATGCTGCTATTACTGCCATAGTTTTAGTTTACATGTTTTCTTTCGTGTTTATATATATTTTTTGTTATTACGACTCTCATTGTGAAAGGTCAAAGTAGGAAGTGGAATCCAGCGTGTTGCTAGGTAACCAGAGACTTGCGATATGATAGCATAGCTTTAGCAAGTGACTGTAGAAAGGTCATTCAAGTGTAAGAATTGATTTAATAACCTAATTTCTACCTCGAGAGGAAGGGTGAGTCGGCGAGGAATGTTTATATGTTTTATGTCATTTGTTTTATGTCCATATTGTATCCGTGGGCTCACTGAAGTTGATGTTGTATTTTAGCCGAAGTGATAGCTGATTGTAGCTCACAGCGGAGCGTGTAGTTAGTGAGTGACAGCCACTGCATTCATGGGCAACACACGTGCTAGTTGTTTTCAACGGAAGTCATGTGGAAAGACCCGGATGATGAGGCGGATGATGACGAGGAGGAAAGACCCCGGAAGGAAGGACGGATGCTTCTTCAACGTCGTCAGCCGAGAACGGCGGTGACGTCAAAAGCTACAAAGATATATTAATAGGAGCGCTGGAATAAACTGGGCAGCACAGTGGCGCAGTCCCTAGCGCTGCGGCCTTGCAGTCGGAAGGTTCCAGGTTCAACTCTGTGTTGCGTGGGTTTCCTCCGGGTACTCCGGTTTCCCCCACATGCTAAAACATGCCGGTATGGTAAGAGTCTCTCAGAAAGTAGCTGTGAGAATGTGTGAGTGAATGCTGGTTTGGTTTGGAATGAATGGATAGGTTTTTTAAATCATTGGACATTGATGTTCATTGAGACTCGCGCTTTGCTCTCCAAGAGGTAAACTCCTCCCACAGAGCCGCCTTCTTAGTTTTTTGCCGCCCGATTGTTACGGAGTGGACAAACACCAAATAGGGGCTTTGCTGGGGATTTTCTACGGGAAAATTCATAAACAAACAAGCAAGTTATTCAGTTATTCTTTTTGCTTGATTTGAAAGATATGCACGATTCCATAAATGCGTTTTTTAAAATGTTAATTGCTCTCGTGGCCTTGATGTGAAAGGGCTCAGACACATCCCTGTAGAAGTGCGCATGTTCCTATTAGTATTTCAATAGATCAGCATGTTCAAAAATAAGTGCATAACATGTACTTACACATGTTATGCACTTATATATAGTTTTTTGCCGCCCGACTGTTACGGAGTGGACAAACACCAAATAGGGGCTTTGCTGGGGGTCTTACGGGAAAATTCATAAACAAACAAGCAAGTTATTCAGTTATTCTTTTTGCTTGATTTGAAAGATATGCACGATTCCATAAATGCGTTTTTTAAAATGTTAATTGCTCTCGTGGCCTTGATGTGAAAGGGCTCAGACAGGTTCCCACATTCCTGTAGAAGTGCACATGTTCCCTGTAGAAGTACATGTATAAGTACAACTACTTATACATGTACTTATACTGACATGTATAAGTACATGTGACTGCATAACATGTATTATGCACTTATATATACCGACTTATATA